TTTRTWTGKGTTTGGTTGGTTGGTTGTGCTTATTTTTGTGCTTGTCTGTTTGTGTATACATGCGCCTGGCTCACACATACATGTGTGTAGGCTCGTAGGCTTATGTTGCTCTCAATTGCATTGACATTTTTCACTTTTGTGTTGTGTCAGACTGATGACGAGCAAATGCAGAGGTGTCGATCGACGTTTCTCTAATGTCCATGTGTTCTTGTGTGTGTGTGTGTGTGTGTGTGTGTGTGTGTGTGTGTGTGTGTGTGTGCGGGGGGGGGGGTATCTGCAGACACATGGGGAATTTGAAAACGAAAGTTTCCTGCCTTTCTGATTTGTTGAGTCTCTCATGAGCCACCACCACTGGGGATGGTGGTGGTTGTTTCATCCTTCTATTCCCCATCTCCAGTTTTTTATGTGCAGACAAATGGGGAAAGGAAGCATCGCTTGGACGCTGGTGGCTTGAACAGCGATTCTCTTGGTATGTGGCATGGATTTCCTCCCTTTCTGTGCATGACTCGAAGTGAGTGATCTACGGACAATAAATGAAGCAGGTGTCGACCATGGTTTGATTTGAGGAGTTGTCAGCACCCTTTCCCCAGCCCCTCTGTTGGCACACGCATGAACTGGAAGGAATAGAAGAGGCATTTATGCAACATAGGTACAATTTTATAGGGTGACCAAATTCCAACGGAAAATTTGAAAGAACCTTTGTTCTTCTCCGAGCTTGCCCTGTGCATTCATCCCTGCAATGGCACTTGCACAAGAGCGCACACACACACACAAAGATCTATAGCTATATGCATTACATGACTAGATCAATAGATAGTGTGCGCGCATGTGTGTGTGTGTGTGTGTGTGTGTGTGTGTGTGTGTGTGTGTGTGTGTGTGTGTGTGTGTGTTATGAACCTGGTTGTTTGGCGCTTGCCATGCCCATACATACATAGAAGGAAGGGGAGAGGATGGGAGTATCACACCGCACAGGGAGAGATAAACACAGCGGAAGACTTTACCATGCGATATGACAGGAAACACTGAAAGTGCAAAGCGCTCCACAGTATCCTCACAACCAGTCACAAAGGAAAGCTGAGTAGATCACATCCAGGAAACGATGAAGCAAAGATAGTCTGCACACAGTAATCACACTGGTTATTAAACTCAGAGTCTCGAAATGTCAGAATAACCCCAGTACCATGGTGCGCTGCTAAGAAATGAGCAGCGCTTCACTCCCCAACCCTGAGTATCCGCTATACCCCTGAGCCCCTGAAACATCAAGCGCCACCCATATACTGCCTCCAGAGGGAAGCTCCACCCTGAAACAGGCCTCCGAGGCCAAGCGCCTCTCAGAGGATGAAGAAGAAGACCAGCGCCACAGTATCTGATGAGGATGAAGTGCCAGAAGACTTCCTGGGTGGAAGTATGTAGCAGCGCCATCACTCCTGACAAAGATAATCTCTGAGGAAGACAAGCTGCAGCTATGGCTGCAGCGCCACACACTCTGACACCCTACTCCGGAGGAGGGTTCAGCAGGGCACCAACTTCTCTCGCCTCCAGAAGACTCCAAATAGCTCAGACCTCTGAACAGCCCTGCGTGCTGTCAGAGCTCAGTGTCGGTCCCAGCTATGGCCGACACTCCGCAGGTCCAGCTATGTCCGTCTTCTCCAACGCTGAAGCTGTCACCACTTCCAGTTCCTGCGTTGCACAGCAGGGATGTACACGGTACCAACTGCAAAAAGCCCTGAACCGATGTCTACAATCTATCTATAAACTACACTAGCCTAGACACGACCTAGACCGGGCTGACTGGACCGACCGGTACTGTTTCAGTTTCGGCCTCTCGCCCTCTACCTACCCGGCTATAGGCTATAGGACCGTCTATCAGCATAGGCCTTTTAGGGCCTGTCTGTCCTAGGGGTAGCCTGGGCCTGCTATTCGCAGTTAGGGTAGCTGTAGGAAACTTCAGTTAGTACGGGCCTGTATTTTCCCGAATTTACAGATATGCCCCTTAAGAATTTTCCGGACAGGTAGGTCTCTCGGTTAGCCCTCAGCCAAACAAAATTACGAATCTATCCTACCTATGGTACAGTCTCGATGAGATAGGCTACAGGCCACTGGAACCAACAAGTCGTTGCATGTGTGTGTGTGTGTGTGTGTGTGCGTGTGTGTGTGTGTGTG